TGCGGGAGACCGGGGTTCGATCCCTGGGTGGGGAAGATCCTCTGGAGAAGGAAATGGAAACCCACTCCAGTATTCTTGCCTGGAAAATCCCATGGACAGAGGAGCCTAGTAGGCTACAGGCCATGGGGTTGCAAAGAGTCAGACACGACTGAGTGACTTCACACTCACTCACTCACTGAAATATTAAAGTTCAACGTTCAGAAAACTAAGATCATGGCATCTGGTCCCATCACTTCATGGGAAATAGATGGGGAAACAGTGGAAACAGTGGCTGACTTTATTTTTTGGGGATCCAAAATCACTGCAGATGGTGACTGCAGCCATGAACTTAAAAGACGCTTACTCCTTGGAAGGAAAGTTATGACCAACCTAGACAGCATATTAAAAAGCAGAGACATTACTTTGCCAACAAAGGTCTGTATAGTCAAGGTTATGGTTTTTCCAGTGGTCATGTATGGATGTGAGAGTTGGACCGTGAAGAAAGCTGAGCACCAAAGAACTGATGCTTTTGAACTGTGGTGTTGGAGAAGACTCTTGAGAGTCCCTTGGACTGCAAGCAGATCCAGCCAGTCCATCCTAAAGGAGATCGGTCCTGGGTGTTTATTGGAAGGACTGATGCTGAAGCTGAAACTCCAATACTTTGGCCACCTGATGTGAACAGCTGACTCACTGGAAAAGATTGAAGGCGGGAGGAGAAGGGGATAACAGAGGATGAGATGGCTGGATGACATCACCAACTCGATGGACATGAGTTTGAGTAATCTCCGGGAGTTGGTGGTGGACAGGGAAGCCTGGCGTGCTGCGATTCATGGGGTCGCAAAGAGTCGGATACGACTGAGCGACTGAACTGAACTGAAGTACTTATGGGTAAAATGATATATACTGTCTGAGATCTGTCTCAAAATCATCCAAAAGATCAGGATGGGGGAATAAGCAGACATAGAGATGAAGTAAAGATTGGCCATGAGCTGGTAACTGTTGAATAAAAGTGATGGGTAAAGAAGATTCCTTATACCATTCACTCTACCTTTGTATGTTTTACATTTTCTATCATAAAACATTTAAAAAAGTAATAACCTACAGCATTCATTAGAAGTCAGAATAATGGTTTGAAGAGGGGAATGGGAGGCACAATAAGGGCTTCGGGAGTGGTAAGAATGTTCTTTTACACAGGTTTGTTCACTTTGTGATAATTCATCAATCTGTACATTACAAATTGTGCACTCTTCAAAATATATTATACTACAATCAAAAAATATTTTTTAAAAGCAAGAGATCCACTGCTTCAGTGCAAGAGATCCACTGCTTCAGTGCAAGAGAAGACAGTAAGGCAGAGTTGCAAATACTACAGCAATCACTAAGAAACCTATTTCTGAGCAGAAAGACAAAAGAATACTGTATGTATGCGTACTAAGTCGCTTAAGTCACGACCGACTCTGTAAGATCGTATGCACTGTAACGTGCCAGGCTCCTCTGTCCATGGGTTTCTCCAGGCAAGACCACGGGAGTGGTTGCCTACCCTTCTCCAGAATAATGTATATAGCCCTAAGCAGATGTTAGGATCTAGTCTCGTTTTCCTCTCTAAGGGAAATTGCAGCTACCTCAGCCGACTGTTTAGAACACGACATGGAATAGTGCCCGTGAAGTGCTCAGCACACAGCCGGGCACACACACTGCAGTGAAGAGAAGGCGCCTTCTGACTCTGGTGTCAGAGGGCCCGGCCTGCATGCATGGCCTGCCTGCTCCCAGACTACAGTATAGGTATACTGTACGCTGCTTTTATTCTAGACCTCCACAATAATAAATTACTCTCAGACGGGAAGCTGGACAGATCCCCATCATCCCTCACCCAAAGCTCTAACACAAAACCATTAATGAGACTGAACAGAGGCACCGCAGCTGCACGACGATTCGAGAGAATCCAGGTCTCCTCCGCCAGTATCTGTGGAAGCAAAATCACTTAAGACGAGGGAAGCCAAAGCCCCACACCCACACATCTTCACTCCCCGCCAGCACGATCCCCTGCACCCCACTCCATGCCCTCCAATGGGGACGCACGGAGTAAAAGCCTCATATCGCCCCTCCGCGCCTTCCCCCAATCAGCGAGCCCGCACCAGAACACAGCGCCCAATCAGACCGCTCCACATGCCGAGGGCAGCCCACCGCGCACGTCCGAAAGGAAACGCTTCCCAAAGGGCAGTGCCAAAACACCCGGCTCCACTGGCTTCTGGGGTCTCCGGAGGAGCCACACTGCCACCTACTGCCCGATCATGGGAATGCAGTCCCAGATGCACCGCCTGATTCTCAGGGCCATAACCCAGTCAGAAGGCTCAAAAACAGAATTTGGGAGCTTCCCTGGTGGCTCAGTGGTGAAAAATCCGCCTGCCAGTGCAGGACACCCGGGTTCAATCCCAGATCCTGGAAGACCCCCACATGCTGCCGAGCAACTATGCCCCTGGCCACAGCTACTGAGCCTGTGCTCTGGAGTCCCACCTGCCCGCACCTACTGAAGCCTGCGCGCCAGAGTGCCCAGGCTCTGCAACAAGAGCCATCACAGTGAGAAGCCTGCGCACCTGCTCAGCCAACTAGCGAGTGCCGCGTCCCACCCCCCACCCCGCAACTAGAGAAGAGCCTAGGCAGCAAGGGAGACACGGCGTGGCCAAAAATAAATTTAAAAACAGAACAAGAATCAAGGAAAACATGCAGTAATACCACATATGAACGCAAGTTTTAATAATATTCTGTTACACAGTAGGAAGAAAACATTGTCTTAGCCTCTTTTTCTTCCAAGCAGTTTGAGTTTCAAAACCTCATCTCACCTCACATCCTAAATTATTCCTTTATGCAGCAGCTACTGTATGTCAGAGTATGATCTGGGGCAGGCATTATCATCATCCTTGATAGGTACAGGAACCCAGTTAAGAGACATAGGTTCTGAAAGCTGGCAGAGATAGGAAAAACACTCAGACATTTTCACTTCAAGTGCACACTCTGGACCATGTCACACAAGGTAAAAAGTGCTGTAAGATACAGGATGAGGAAAAAAATCACTTCTGACTTGATAGGGCCTTGGGATGTACAGAAAGGATTGTTGGCAGGATAGTACTCAGTAATTGGTGGCTGGTATGTACTGCTTTTTTAAGTATATTAATCTTAACAGAGAGGAAACAGTTACCTCCATGGGATATATATTCACTGGAGACTGTTATGCTTATTCTTTGGCAAAAAGCATCTGCTCACTCAAGAATCCATGACAATATTTCCTAGGTTTGTCTCCAAATAACAGAGCTGATCCATACCAAAGCACCAAATATAATGGCTGTTTCCTAATTTTCCCTCATACCTAGGAAAGTGTTAATAACAGCTCTTATGAAATTCTTCATCTTCATTTCTGTACTTCCACATATATGGCACATCAGAATAAGCTCTGCAATATAATTAACTGAGCCCATGTTGCTTTCATCATTAGAATAGTGGTTCCCAAAAGAGTACCAAAAGGCCCTCAAGGACATTTCAGAATACCTAGTGGTATTTTTTCTTTCTTGACTGTCAAAACGACTGCAGGGCATTATTGGTACTTACTGGGTAGAAGGGGCTTCCCTGGTGGATCAGCGGTAAAGAATCCGCCTGCAATGGGGGAGACCTGGGTTGGGAAGATCCCCTGGAGAAGGGAACAGCTACCCACTCCAGTATTCTGGCCTGGAGAATTCCATGGACTGTATAGTACATGGGGTCGCAAAGAGTCAGACATGACTGAGCGACTTTCACTTTCACTGGGTAGAAGTCAGAAATGATAACAGGCAGTACCGAGACTGACAGCCACAACACAACACTGGCCCTGCTGGGAGCCAGTGTGTTCAGTACAGAAGGAAGATACAAATACGGACGATAGGAAGGCAAGGAAGAACTCTGTAGAGAGATGAACTGAGGTTTCAGAATGAACTCATAATTTGTAAAATATGTACATGTAAGCTCATATATATATATGAGAACATATGTATGTTTATGTGTGTATGTATACATATTTTCCCTAGCTCTGTCCACTAAATGGGCAAAGCAGCAAAAATTCCACAGTAGCAAGGGGATGCCTAGTGCATAGACCTTGGTTTCTAATAACATTCCCTAGTCAAAGGGACCAGTGCTCTTTGGAGAAGTCCAGTTGGCCCTTGAACAAAACAGGTCTGAACTGTGCAGGCTCACTCACACAAACATTTCTTTCACTAAACGTGTACTAGGGTTACACGCATGATCCACAGCTGGCTGAATCCACAGACAGAAACTTGGCTAGGAAGAAACCACTTACAGGGAGGACCAACTAGAAGCTATAAGAGGATTTTTGTGCTGCGGGTGGGTGCCCTTCACCTCCATCGTTTAAGGGTTAATTGCAACTGATTTCAGGGTTACAGCAGGAAAGGTACAAGATGGAACACTGGAAGCCAGCTTGAAAGGGCTTCCATTAGGCAAATTTGAGAGAATTCGGGAGAATCTGGCTAATGAAATAATGGTAAGGATGGTAATGAATCATTAAAAGAATAAAAGCAATCTACAAGATCATATTGATAATAAACAGAGAAGAGCAAGAAGCGGGAGAAAAGGGCGGCTTCCTGTTTACAGTAAACACTGAGCACTAATTAGTAAATGTGGAGGTATTAATGAATTTGGAAAATAATCATTTTTCAACCAACATGATAAAGACTGATTCTGCAGATAAAGTCAGGATGCATGGTAACTAACTATATGATAAAAATGAACAGAAAACAAGACAAAATAATGTTTACATAATCCAGAGAGACTGTCAAGGCAAAGATGAAAGAGAAATTTGCAAGAAAGAAAAAATAATTCTACCACATGTGAAACAATGGTCTAATTCTTTTTAAGACTTAAAATATGCTTATTTGATTGGATTATCATAAACGCATTTCACATATATCTCATGAATATACAGTAACAAACATGGAGTGATTGGAAATGATATATATAATAGCGCAGTAAGTACTTACCCAGGTGACAATCTTCTTTTTCTCTTGCTTCCCATTTGCGGCTGTCCACATATGCTGCAGAAAGTAGGCATCTTTTACCTGAGGAAAAAAACAGTTACCTCAACAGGCATGGTTTCAATACATGTTCAGTTTATACATGTGTTTTTATTAAGCGTATCTTTGCCACATTTTCCATTTACTAGACTATTTAAAGATCTGTTATGAAACTGTAACCAATATTGCACAGGTTTACAATTCAGTTCATGACAACATGCATTCAACCTCTCACAGGAAGAAAATGCAGAAAACCTGTTAAAATTTCGGTTATAAAATTATGAGTAAAACTGCTGCTGATTTTGTTCCTAATACTTTAGACCTAGGAGCTATTTGTTTCCACTGACAAAGAGCCTAGATAAGCCTTAAAATTCCTTCTTAGAACCCAAAATACTAGCTGAACGGTTGCTTAACTCATTAAATGACTTTATCATCATTAGTACTAAAAGATTTCCATCTGACTTGGATCAGCACATTTACCCTTATTTCACACACAGCAAAGAGTACCGAGCACCCAGTGGGTAAAGAGGAGGAATCTAACAAGCCAAACCTGCGGTAGCCCACAAGATGACACCTGTGACAACGACGCATGTGACAGTGCTCAACAGATAAGAGCTCAAGGAATAAATGAGAAAGGAGGAATGACAACTGAAAGTCAAAACTTACCCTTCAAAGATACCACAGAGAAAGAGAGAGGATAACTCAGAACAGGAGGAAAATATTTGCACATCATTTATCTGATTAGAGACTTGTTCCCAGAATCTCAGCTTCCTCAGAAACCTGTATGCAGGTCGAGAAGTAACAGTTAGAAACGGACATGGGATAAAGGACTGGTTCCAAATAAGGAAAGGAGTACATCAAGGCTGTATATTATCACTCTGCTTATTATTACTATTATATTATTATTATTATTATATGCAGAATACATCATGCAAAATGCCAGACTGGATGAAGCACAAGCTGGAATCAAGATTGCCAGGAGATACCAATAACCTCAGATATGCAGATAACATCACCCTTATAGTAGAAAGTGAAGAGGAACTAAAGAGCCTCTTGATGAAGGTGAAAGAGGAGACTGAAAAAACTTGGTTAAAACTTGGCATTCAAAAAATGAAGATCATGGCATCTGGTCCCACCACTTCATGGCAAACAGATGGGGAAACAACGGAAAGAGTGACAGACTTAATTTTCTGGGCTCCAAAATCACTGCAGATGGTGACAGCAGCCAGGAAATTAAAAGACACTTGCTCCTTGGAAGGAAAGTTATGACCAACCTAGACAGCATATTCAAAAGCAGAGACATTACTTTGCCAACAAAGGTCCATCTAGTCAAGGTTATGGTTTGTCCAGTAGTCATGTATGGATGTAAGCTGGACCATAAAGAAGGCTGAACACTGCAGAATTGATGCTTTCGAACTGTGGTGTTGGAGAAGACTCTTGAGAGTCCTCTGGACTGCAAGGAGATCAAATGAGTCAATCCTAAAGGAAATCAGCCCTGAATATTCACTGGAATAACTGATGCTGAAGCTCCAATACTTTGGCTACCTGATGTGGAGAACTGACTCATTGGAAAACACCCCGATGCTGGGAAAGATTGAAGGCAGGAAGAGAAGGGGATGACAGAGGATGAGATGGTTGGATGGCACCGCCAACTCGATGGACATGAGTTTGAGCAAGCTCCAGGAGACGGTGAAGGACAGGGAAGCCTGGCATGCTGCAGTCCATGGGGTCACAAACAGCTGGACACGACTGAGTGACTGAACAACAACCATGAAAAAAAAAAACTCTTACAACTCAAAATTTAAAAAGACAACTCAACAGAAAAATGGGCAAAGGATCTGAACAAACATTTCTAAAACATACACACACATATAAATAGAACACACATAAATATATGGCCAATAAGTATATGGAAAGATGGTTAATATCATTTCCCATTAAGGAAATGCAAAATATACTGAAATACAACTACACATCCACTTGGGATGGCTATGATCAAAAAGGCAGATGATAACAGCTGTTGATAAAGATGTAGAGAAATCTGGCTCATGCAATGCTAGTATGAATGTAAAATGGTGCAGCCACACTGGAAAAGTTTGGCAGTTCTGCAAAATGTTAACATGGAGTTACCAGGTAACCCAACAATTCCACTTTCACATATATACCTATGAGAAATGAAATCATGGATCCACACAAAAAATTGTATACATTATTCATAATAGCCAAAAGGAAAAATGCAAATATCCATCAATTTATGAATGGATAAACAAAATGTGGTATATTCTTATGAAAGGCACATTATTGAGCAACAAGAAGTACTGATACATGCTACATGGAGGAACCTTAAAAATATTATGCTAAGGAAAAGCCTGTCACAAAAGATTACATATTACATAATTCCATTTATATGCAATGTCTGCAACAGGGAAATCTATAGAGACAGAGGTGTATTGGTTGCCTAGATCTGGAGGGTAGAGGGTCAGGAAAACCTGGGGGAAATGGGACGTGACTGCTAATGAGTACCGGGTTTTTTTTGAGGTGATGAAAATCTCCTAAATTGATTGTGGTGACAGCTGCTGCAAAACCCTGTGTACGTAACAAAAAACCTAGGTAAGCATTAAATTGACCACTTTAAATGAATGTGAACTAAATCTAAATAAAGCTGTTTAAAAAATTAAAAAGGAATGAATGGCAGACAGTTACCTGAAGGTCACAGCAGACCGTAACCAAACATGGGAAGGCACGGGAGCTGTCGCACACACTATTAGGGCGCTACTGTTATTTTCTATCCATTTCCCAACTGAAACAAACATAAACACACCTGTGTGTATTTACACCCAAACCAGTCCCTCCCCTGTCTTCAGCAGGGGTTAGGTCAGACTTTACTAGAACAATACGTATAAATCTGAGGTCTAAAGCTTAAGCAATGATGCAATATTAAAAGCTCCCGAAGACTGCCTCAAAAGGGAATAAAAATATTTTTTAAAAATAGTAACTATAATGATTAGATGTTTGGAACTTAGAATACATTTTTCACAGAGATGATGTTGTAAATTGTCAGTTACATGCCTATATCTGTCAAGGATGAATAAAATCCAACGGCACTGATGGCATTGCATTGTGTGTGCAGCTGTACACCAGGGTCAGGAGTGAGCAGACCAGATCCTGCAGTTTTAACTGAAGGAGTTGGTTGGGTGATATTTAAGGTCTCTCTGCATGCTCTAACAGTCTGACACAGAGCCAAAACACACAATTCAGATAATCCATTCATAATTTACAATAACATTTCCGGGCAAACTGAATTCCAATTTCTAAAACCAGGTAGATTGCTCCCTTCTGTGGGAAAAAAGTACAGCCCTTTTCTCTACATGAGCATAAGCTGAGGAGGGGACGAATGTGCTGAGACGCTTCAGTCATGTCTGACTCTTTCGTGACCCTATGGACTGTAGCCCTCCAGGCTCCTCTGTCCAAGGGATTCTCCAGGCAAGAATACTGGAGTGGGCTGCCATGCCCTCCTCCAAGGGGTCTTCCAGACCCAGGGATCAAACCCACGTCTCTTATGTCTCCTGCATTGGCAGGTGGATTCTTTACCACTAGGGCCGCCTAGAAAGCCCAGTTCAGGCAGTTCAGTCGCTCAGTCGTGTCCGACTCTTTGCGACCCCATGGACTGCATGCAGCATGCCAGGCTTCCCTAACCATACCAACTCCCAGAGTTGACTCAAACTCATGTCCATTGAGTCGGCGATGCCATCCAACCATCTCATCCTCTGTTGTCCCCTTCTCCTCCCGCCTTCAATCTTTCCCAGCATCAGAGTCTTTTCAAATGAGTCCGTTCTTCACATCATGTGGCCAAAGTCAGTGGAGTTTCAGCTTCAGCATCAGTCCTTCCAATGAATATTCAGGACTGATTTCCTTTAGGATGGACTGGTTGGATCTCCTTGCAGTCCAAGGGACTCTCAAGAGTCTTCTCCAACACCACAGTGCAAAAGCATCAATTCTTCAGCGCTCAGCTCTCTTCATAGTCCAACTCTCACAGCCATATGTGACTACTGGAAAAACCATAGCTTTGACTAACTGGATCTTTGTTGGCAAAGTAATGTCTCTGCTTTTTAATATGCTGTCTAGGTTGGTCATAACTTTTCTTCCAAGGAGCAAGTGTCTTTTAATTTCATGGCTGCAGTCACCATCTGCAGTGACTTTGGAGCCCCCCAAAATAAAGTCTGTCACTGTTTCCATTGTTTCCTATCTATTTGCCAGGAAGTGATGGGACCAGATGCCATGATCTTAGTTTTCTGAATGTTCAGTTTTAAGTCAACTTCTTCACTCTCCTCTTGCACTTTCATCAAGAGGCTCTTTAGTTCTTCTTCACTTTCTGCCATAAGTGTGGTGATATCTGCATATCAGAGGTTATTGACATTTCTCCTGGCAATCTTGATTCCAGCTTGTGCTTCATCCACTCCAGCATTTCTCATGATGTACTCTGCATATAAGTTAAATAAGCAGGGTGACAATATATAGCCTTGACATACTACTTTCCTTATTTAGAACCAGTCTGCTGTTCCATGTCCAGTTCTAACTATTGCTTCTTGACCTGCATACAGATTTCTCAGGAGGCAGGTAAGGTGGTCTGGTAATCCCATCTCTTTCAGAATTTTCCACAGTTTGTTGTGATCCACACAGTCAAAGGCTTTGGCTAGCCGATAAAGCAGAAGTAGATGTTTTCCTGGAACTCTCTTGTCTTCTTTGATGGTCCGATGGATGTTGGCAATTTGATATCTGGTTCCTCTGCCTTTTCTAAATCCAGCTTGAACATCTGGAAGTTCTCAGTTCACATACTGTTGAAGCCTAGCTTGGAGAATATTGAGCATTACTTTGCTAGCATCTGCAATTGTGCAGTAGTTTGAGCATTCTTTGGCATTGCCTTTCTTTGGGATTGGAATGAAAACTGACCTTTTCCAGTCCTGTGGTCACTGCTGAGTTGTCCAGATTTGCTGGCATATTGAGTGCAGCACTTTCACAGCATCGTCTTTGAGGATCTGAAATAG